AGCCAATTATATTGCCAACATGGAAGACATGCTTACGTGTCATTGCCACGTGGTGCCACAAGGATTCTCCTTACTTTGATTTCCCTCAAAATCAACTAGAACCCACATGTGGCATCTACGTGGCATCCACGTGGCATCCACATAGCAATGATAAGTTAGCTTGTTTTTCCACGTGGTGATCCAGTTGGTTGAGTGACGGATTGTTAATTAGCATCTAAGATATTTGCCTACAAGAGAATATTCCATCCAATTGAGACCTTATTTGAGAATTTCATGTAGTTTGGGACCTTAATTGAGTGTAATTAAAGTTTGGGTCTGAAATTGTGAATTTTGTGCAAGTTTAGATCCTTTTATCACATTTTTACCTTAAATATGGTATGCATTTAACTATTTAAAAATTACATAATAAATTAGTTTAAAATAAAAAAAATACATAGAGTGAAATTCATATTAATAAATAATTGGAGAATTTTCATTTTACCTTATAATGCATTGATTAGAAATTAAATATTATCATTTTTATTTTATTTTAAAAGATAAATATACATTTTATTATAAAAATAAAAAATTACATTAATTAAATATTAAATAGTTTTTCTCCAAACCCTTTTATTTTCCTACCCACCTATATATAAACTCTTACTTTTCTCTACATCAATATATCATATTTTCCTTGTCATCTCTTAATTTTTTTTTTCTAATATGTTGAATTTTAAATATTAGTTTTTTTTGTTTCCTATTTCATTTTATAGTTGAATATAATATTACATTTTTATTTTATTTGTCTTTTTTCTTTTTATCCAAAATATGTATATTGTTTTATGAACTATTTTTCTTATTAGTCTTATTATTCTTTTTAATGAATTTTTTATAAAATATATGATGATTGTTCTTCTAAAAGAATTTTGTAATTTTATTTGTTTAAAACTTATGCATTCTTTTCATTGTAGATTATTAATGGTTTGATTTTTTTTTTTTTTTTTGTATGTGTGTTAAGGAGAGAACTTTACTCATGGAATTGAAGTCAATTGGAGCAATAAAAGTGTTGATTCATATACTAATTTGAATAAGAAATGTATGAATTTAATAGAGATCAAGTTATATGAAGATATTGTTTTTTTGTGCAAGAAGATTTTATATTTCTTATTTTATTCATATTATACTATTATTAATTTTTTAGTCCTTTTAAATATAAATTATACTTGACATTCTTTCTAAATTGTATATATATCTAATATTATTGTTACATATATTTAAAAATATACGTTGCAAAATCTCATTCTTTTTTTTTTTTATTTGAAAATTCATTCAAATCACTTTCTTTTTGTAATTTTGATGTAAGCACTTATATTAACATATCAAAATAATTTGTAATATAAGTTAAAAATAGAACTTGAACAAAAAAAAATGACACAAAATTGGAAATGAGAGAAGGGATAAGAAAAAAAACCATATAAAATAAAATTTTGCAAGTTAAGCAATTATAGAAGAAAAA